TCTATCTATCTATCTACCTATCCGTCTATATATGCATCTTCTCTATTCTCTCCTCTCTTTCCCTTTGAATGTACATCTGCCTCTTTTTTGCTCTACCAGCCGTCGCCGTTGAACGTTCCACGATGCGGCGGAATGCGTTGCGCTCGTCCGTTCGACGCATTTCTATGTTCCCGTCCCTCGCTGCCGTTCATTAAACAATCCGTCGTTGTTGATTCCACTTAAACTGTTTCGCACACGTAGGGTGCGTCTGTGCGGTGAGGTGGGCGAGCACGCAGCCTAAGAAGCTACACGCGGTTGTCAACTCGCTCCGAAAGTTTCCTCTCGTAATTTCCTTTCGTGCGCCGTCGACATAGGTAGACACCGTTCAGACGTTATTCGCGTCGCGTCAGTAACACGTTCCCGCGAATTGGAGCACGGGTAGGGACCGCTGTTATCGATCGATCCGTTTCCCTCGCGTGGATCGTGCGCGCCAAAGTCAAAAAAAACGTTCTAGACGCGTCGTTGCTTTTTATATCCGTCGCGCGGTGGAAAGCGTATTTGCATGATAGGCAGGCGCATCATGCGCTCGAGCTTGCGTTACGTAAACTGCGTTGCGGCGTTTATTGTTCGCGATGCAGGTTTTGCGAATCCACTTTTCCCGCGATTGTGTCACGGAATGAATGTCCCTGTCGTTAATTACGTTGCCGGACGAATACGTTGATCGCGCGTGTGTCTCTTCGTACGTGTGCGAAGATTATTGTTATCATGAAATCGTACGAATCGTACGAAGCTGTACTAGGAAATTGTATGCATGTGTGTAAATTTCGTATACAGATTATTAAATTCGGTGGCGAATTTTTCGATGCTTTTAACGTTTTAACACGCTGCGACAATAACATTAACACAGGCAGCATTCGGTCGGATCGTAATAAAACGAGCGAGACGTACGCGCACGCGTCGCCGTGTTCGTGGCCACACTTTTAACACACATCGATACCGGTAGTACAAGGTGGTCCAAGTGCATCGGGTAAATGGGTCAAGCGAATTAATTCTGGTTGGCGAGCTGCACTTTGTGTCTCGGTGCATGACGAAAGCACGTCGTGCGGCGTTCCGTGCTAGCAGAGACTTCGTGCGGGGGAGGGACTACAGCCATACTCGCGATTGTTTTGGGATATCCCGCTAAAAATATCTCTACGACATACATGTTCCTTTCTATTTTTTCCCCCTTTCCGTTTTGGAAAATTAAAATTACCAAAGATACGAAAGATTTAAAGAGGTGCGCTGCTCTTTTAAAAATGCAGAATTCACAACGTTTTAGAGAACGTCCTTTCCCCCACGACGTTCGTTTATATATTAAAAGGTAGAAACGGAAATCTGGCACGAAAATCAATCATATATATATATTGTTCTTTCGTTAGTGGTTCAGAATAAACAGGACTGCTTGTATAAACAATGTTAGTACAAAATTAAGGACATCCTATGGATCGTGGTTCCGTTAATTGTGTTTTTGTTGAACTTTCTGCTTGACTCTGCTTAACGTTGACGGAACCAGGAATCGCCAGAAGCATCGCGCGACGATTACTGTCTCTCTTTTTGTTTATTGTCAAGTCGAAACAGTCTTTTCATCAATAGCGTTTATGATCTTCTTTTTGCCTCACTTGTTACCAAACGATCAAATGGCTAGATTTTCAAATGTGACTGGCTAATCAAGCTAATCACGTTACAATAAAAGCAGGCGGCAGCGCGTTGGTATCATTAAGTATCACCAAAATCGCCACAGAATCTGTAAAATATTCAAACCAAGATTTTCAAGTTGGAGCCATTCCACAGTCCACTGCGACACATTCACCACGTTCAAAACCGAACACGCATAACTACAAGTCATCAAAAACGATTTAACAAACAATATTTGTCGCTTCCATGAATTTTGATGAATTCCTTTCGTGATGATCAATTACCATAGTGCCACGGATGATTATCATAATGCTACGCGTGAGACGTGCTATAATTGCGACGGTAACTAAACAATGTCTTGACCGCATGGTATGAATGCATAACGAGGATAAAAAAACGTAAAAAAAAAAAAAAAAAAAAAAAAAAAA